AAAAAATAATCCAGTGAAGAAATGGGCAAAAGACATGAATAGACACTTCTCCAGAGAGGACATCCAGATGGCCAACTGACACATGAAAAAATGCTCAACATCACTCATCATCAGGGAAATACAAATCAAAACCACAATGAGATACCACCTCACACCTGTCAGAATGGCTAACATGAACAACTCAGGCAACAACAGATGTTGGCGAGGATGCGGAGAAAGAGGATCTCTTTTGCATTGTTGGTGGGAATGCAAGCTGGTGCAGCCACTCTGGAAAACAGTATGGAGGGTCCTCAAAAAACTAAAAATAGAACTACCCTATGACCCAGCAATTGCACTACTAAGTATTTGTCCGAGGGATATAGGTATGCTGTTTTGAAGGAGCACATGCACCCCAATGTTTATAGCAGCACTATCAACAATAGCTAAAGTATGGAAAAAGCCCAAATGTCCATCGATGGATGAATGGATAAAGATGTGGTATATATATACAATGGAGTATTACTTGACAATCAAAAAGAATGAAATCTTGCCACACGCAACTACGTGGATGGAACTGGAGGATATTATGCTAAGCGAAATTAGTCAGAGAAAGACAAATATCATATGACTTCACTCGTATGAGGACTTTAAGAGACAAAACAGATGAACACAAGGGAAGGGAAGCAAAAATAATATAAAAACAGGGAGGGGGACAAAAACATAAAAGACTCTTAAATATGGAGGACAAACAGAGGGTTATGGGAGGGGTTGTGGGAGAGGGGATGGCTAAATGGGTAAGGGGCATTAAGGAATCTACTCCTGAAATCATTGTTGCACTATATGCTAATTTGGATGTAAATTAAAAAAAATGAAATTTAAATAAATAAAAATGTAAAAGCCAAAAAAAATTTTTTTTGAATAACATTCTCTCTCTCTGCCCCTCCCCCTCCCACTGCACGCGTGCATCCTCTCTCTCTAAACAAAAATAAAAAAGACACACACTACTCCCCCGTGCCAGATGGGACTCATTAGTGTCAATCTGTGTGCTGGGCGCAGTCATCCAAGGATCCAGGGGGACAGTAACCTGTTTTGAGGATAGAAAGCAACTAACAGCATTTCTTACTGTCCCTGTCAGTTTAGGAAAGACAGGCGAGTAAGCAGAACTACAAAAGGTCTCAGGCAACGTCATGGTCCAGTTACGCCAAAACCTTCACATATTCCTTCTGAGTGGAGACCGGTGCAGTGTTCCAGCCCATCACCGCTACTGGCTGAGACTGCCCACATCTGTCTGCCTGCTTCAGGAGCCCTGACTGTAGGGTCTGCTGCTCAGAACTGTGGCAGAAGGCAGAGTCGAAGTAGATCCTGTTCATTAAAGATCATGTAAAAGTATACAAAAACTAGGTTCTTTCAGACCTTATTACCTTTTGACTGCTAGTCTCTAAGTAGGAGAGAAAGCATTCGTTATGGATACTCTCTGGGAATAAATCTTCACGGGAGTAAATCAAGAAACATGAGAAGGGGGGAAAACCTCTAAACATCCCTGTAAACGGCATCCTGTAAGTTCAAAAGGATTGTATCCCTTGGCCACATCATGCCCTGCTCAGATTTACAGCCATCAAGCTTCAAAGAAAAGACAGCAATAAATCCAATCCACATGGCTCTTGTAAAAAGGCATCTATTTGGTTTTTAATACAAAACGACTCAGAGAAACACAGAAAGAAAATATCATACAAGCCAGTTATTGAATTAAAAAAAAAAAAAACCCAACAAACAAATTTCAGTCACATTTCCTGTTTTCAGCCTGGATTAGAAGACAGGAAACTGCAAACCAACCAATGTCTGTCTCTTTGAAGAAATCTTATTAAAAAAAAAAAAAAAAAAAAAAAAGGAGGCAAAAACCAAACAGTCCCTGAAATCTGGCAGGTGGTTTTTAGAGGCCACGTAAGCTTGCCTTAATCATCCTGGTAAAATGGGATACCAGTGGTGGTTGGGATATGGCCACATCCTCCTTGCCTTTTGCTATGAATGATCTTCGTCTGCAGGTAGGATGCTGGCCTGGGCACTATTCGATGCCGCTTCTGTAGTCTGAGGTCTCAAGGCCAAGCAGCGGTGGAGTCTTCCATTCTGTGTCTTCACTGAATCTCCCCCATATACAGTCTCTTGTCACTGGACGCTGACAGAACTGAGGTGAGAAGAACAGAGAAGATGAGATGAGGGGAGCTAATGAAGGCTCAAGGAGACCTGGTGCTCAAGGGCTCTTGTGTCAAGAGCCAATTTTGGTAAAAAGAGCCATTGGATTTAGCTTAAATTCCCCTCCTCTCCAACACCATTCACAGGAAAACTGTAGCCTGGCTTTTTAGTTCAAGTCCTCCTTTTTTTTTTTAAATGTTTTATTTGCTTTTGAGAGAGAGAGAGAGAGACAGCGTGAACGGGGGAGGGGCAAAGAGAGAGGGAGACACAGAATCCGAAGCAGGCTCCAGGCTCCGAGCTGTCAGCAGAGCCCCACGTGGGGCTCAAATTCGTGAACCATGAGATCATGACCTGGGCGAAAGTCGGACGCTTAACTGACCGAACCACCCAGGTGCCCCAGTTCAAGTCCTCTTGAAACCAACCACAAGGGTGGACTGTGCTATGGGAAATGCATCTATCAGGGTCTAAACCCCGATGTCCCTCTTCAGCCACACCCTATGAAAAGACCTTCTCAGGGGCGCCTGGGTGGCGCAGTCGGTTAAGCGTCTGACTTCAGCCAGGTCACGATCTCGCAGTCCGTGAGTTCGAGCCCCGTGTCAGGCTCTGGGCTGATGGCTCAGAGCCTGGAGCCTCTTTCCGATTCTGTGTCTCCCTCTCTCTCTGCCCCTCCCCCGTTCATGCTCTGTCTCTCTCTGTCCCAAAAATAAAATAAAAACGTTGAAAAAAAAAAAATTGAAAAGACCTTTTCAGCCATTCTCCAGAAGAATCAACGTCTGTGCCAGTCATTTTGTAAATGTGCTTCTGCTGGTTCTATTTAGCCCTGGAGAAAGTTATACTTTCTCCTTTAATTCAAGGCTCATTGTTTAATTAGTTAGCCAATATAACATAAGCTGCAATTTATATCTGAACATTAAGAAACATTATTCTTTTACCCAAACGTGTAACTGAAACACAGACTTGAAGCAAGTAAACTCAAGAGAACTAGAAATAGATTAACCAGTCCTCTTTTGAGAGTCACTGGAAAATGGAACATTGCTCTTGACTTCATCACTTAAAACACTGGTGAGGCTGTCAATGGACAGCCATAAAGACAACAAGGAAATTCACATAAAACAGACATCCACTTCTGCCTTTGTATTTGCAGGGCCCCTTGAGGGAGATTTCCCCCAGTTTCCCTTTCCCCAAAGTCGGGACAGACTTACTGATGGGTTCATCCGGGTGGAAAGCCACTTCATTGATGGAGCCAGCGTGTCCAGGCAGCTTATACAAAATCCTCCTGCTTGTGGTATCCCACACATACACAAACCTGCAAGGTATCATGAAGAGCAGTGTTAAAACTTCCCAGAGCTGAGGGTAGGGTAGAGGCACGGCTTTTTAACAGAGATGGAAGCAACAATTTACTCATTCATCCACCCCATATTTATTGAACTGTGTTCTGGTGTTTACAGACTAGAAATACAGATTCTGAATAACGGATGGACCCTTGAGCAACTGAATAGAGAAACTGGAACAGCTACAACTATAAGCATTCCTTGTATTTCAAACGTAAGCTTTTGAAATAGGAAAGAACATGGAGGAAGACCGTTTTTCCTACGGTCCCCACACAGAAATCTTCAAAGGGCATCTGATAGGCATCTAGGATGTCTTAAAGCTAACGCAATTCTCAGCAGGCTGGGAGCCTAGGGTGCGGGCCCATGTGAGCCTCCCAGGACTGCGTTCAAATCACAGAGCTGAGAGAAGGGACAGGAAATTTCTGCAGTATAACACACACCAAATACAGACTTGACCCAATCTTGCCCTGAATTCATGGGAACTCCATGACCAGCTGGTCAAAACTCAGTTTACAGATAAGAAAACTAAGGTATAGTGACTCTTCCAAGGTGACACAGTTCATCAGAGGCAGAACTAAAATTGGAACTTTTTTTTTTTTAAAGTAGGCTCCATGCCTAATATGGGGCTTCAACTCGCAACCCTGAGATTAAGAGTCACATGCTCCACTGACTGAGTCAGCCAGGTGCCCCTACAATCAGAACTCTTAATATATTCTAGTAATCTCCTTTCTCTTACCACCCTCAAACATCTTCTAATTCCTCTCGCCCCTCGGAAGTTCTTTTGACCTTCAACCTTGCTTGGGTTATTTTGGGGCTGAAGGGTAAAATAAAGAGACATTATCTTCACATGCCCATGCAAAAATAATCTGTGGGTAAATTTAAAGGGCTGGTGGTTTTCAAGCAGGTTATAAACATTACTTGCATATTTGTTTTGTTCAGTCAACATCTAAAAGGGTAGGTACAGTTACCAGCACTTGATATTAAAATGTCTAGTGCTGGGGTGTCTGGGTGGCTCAGTCAGTTGAGTGTTCAACTTCAGCTCAGGTCATGATCTCATGGTCCATGGGTTTGAGCCCCGTGTTGGGCTCTGTGGGACAGCTCAAAGCCTGGAGGCTGCTTCGGATTCTGTCTCTCCCTCTCTCTCCCCTGCTCGTGCTCTGTCTCTTATCTATTTCTCAAAAGTAACCAAACATAGGGGCGCCTGGGTGGCTCAGTCCGTTAAGTGTCTGACTTCAGCTCAGGTCATGATCTCACGGTTTGTGGGTTCGAGCCCCGCATCGGGCTCTGTGCTGACAGCTCGGAGCCTGGAGCCTGCTTCAGATTCTGTGTCTTCCTCTCTCTCTGCCCCTCCCCCACTTGCACTCTGTCTCTCTCTCTCAAAAATAAATAAACGTTTAAAAAAAAAAAAAAACATAAAAAAATAATAAAATAAAATAAAATGCCTGGTGTTGATGTAACATCACATTTGTGGTTTAAAATACAACTAAACACGAGCTTATTTACCCTGTTTAGTTCTCAAGTGCTAGGCTCCATAGGAACTTAATAAAAGTTCCAAGCAAGATGGAAGGGAAGCAGGAAGCCCATCTGTCTCCAGACTTCTTGGCTCCGATGTTCCCGCTCTCCCTACTGTGTTCGTTCTTGCTGTGCACAAATAACGTCCTCATTAACCCAGCCCAGGAAGATATGACAGAGTAACAAAGTGTATGAGCTCTGGGCTCCAAAAGACCTGGGCTCAAGTCTCATGCAACTGTTTAATCACTAAGTAAGCTTAGACAATATTTAACTTCTCTGAGCTTCTCTTTCTTTAGTTGTGATGATGGATACTATACTGATCTCACAGCTTGGTTGAGAGAAAAGAGGAGATAATATATGCACAGTGTTTGGCATACACATGACAGCTGTTGTTATGATGAGGACATTTATTATCAAAACAGAAGAACATGAAGTCAGGAGGCTGACTAACTCACTCATGGCAGACAGACTGACCAGTCTTCCCACAGTCCTGGATAGGAACTGTTGAAGGGTTTCGAGTTTGAATGTGAGGCAGTAGGTGATTTGCGAGTAGAGAGGGGAAATGTGCCAAATCCAGGCCAAGCTAAAAAGCAAATTTCTGAGAAGGATACATTTCCCAGGCACATAAAAGCCAGCAGAACCCCAGATCTCCAAGGGTTTACTTGAAGGCCTCACTCTCCATGGCTGCCAATTAGGTGCTAAATTTAGAGGGGTTCCTTGTCCTCTCCTTACTTTGGCACGGGAACATTCGGCAGGAACCAGGTTCCTTATATAACAGAGTTGCTTGTTGACTTGGGGCTAATTGGCGAGGTGGCCTGTGAAATCTGGCCAACCCCAGCAGGTAGATACACGGGCTGGGCCCTGGTTCCCACATGTAAGGTTTAAAGGAACAGTGGGGAGGGAAAGAAGAAGAGAGGACACTGAAAGTCAGAAAGGACCAATGTCAGAAACAAACTGCTCAGAAGAAAAGCTTAGGCAAATATCATTTAAAAGCTTAACTACGTAAAAAAAGAGATCTCTGTTGAGAATTATGTAAAAATACTTCGAATCGTTCTTACTCTGTTAGAATGCAAGATACCTTAGGCTGTGGACCTGTTTCTTAAGGTCTTCTTTAGTAACCTGACTACTGAAAATCCCTTAGATTTCCTCTGCAAGGCAGCTCTCTACACCAACGGGTTACAAACCATCAATGTGGCACTGATGGCCTGGACCTTTTACCCCCAGAAAACACCCCAGTACTTGGCCTTTTATCTCAGTATGAAACTTGCTAGGGAAAAAAAGTGGACTCTGGAATCTTCAGGTATGTTCAGCACTGTCCACAAGCAACAAGGTGTAGGACAGACCAACAACATGAGGCTTTTCTATGGCTGTAGTAGGGCCCCAAATAGAGAAGAAAACCCTGGAACATGCTGAAGAGTCCAAGCTATGCCACAAAAGGCTTCATGTTTGTAAGATGGTGCCTGTTTTAGTACGGTAGTAGGAAAATCTCTCAACGGAGAGAAAGATGGGGTTAAGCTAAAAAGGGTTAAGACATCTCTCAGTGGAAGTTAAAGCCAGAGTCGGCCATCAGAGGGCCTTAACATTCTTCACCACTCCACATCTGTGGCCCATTAGTCTGGCATGGGCACCCACACCCCCGCCTCTGACCCCGTCCTAAGGGCGGGTCACCATAGATATACTAAACAGCAGGGTCTGATAGAAGAATTCTCTCCCTTCTCTTTCTAATTCATCACCGAATGGCTGAGCCAGTTTAAAGTGACAGCTAAGAAAGTCTCATGGTCTCTGAATTCAGGGGTGGAAAATACCGAGCTCACGTGTTGACACAACCCTCATCTAGCAATCATGGTACTTTTCCTATTGAGCCCACACCCAGCTCTGAATCACCCCCAACACAGGCAGCCATTACCAATAGCTGAGCTGATATGTAGAGTAAAATCTGACTGCCATCCTTGAGCTAGGAATTCATTCATGTAAGATTCACTAAGTGCTTAGAACAGGTCAAATACTGCTCTGGGTTCAGAGACGACTAAGACTCATTTCCTGACCTCTAGGAACAAATAATTAGGTGAGGGTGCCCCACTCTGTTTATCTCACGGTAAGACGTGTTGGATGCTGAGAAAGGTTTGATGTATAAGGTGTGACTACAGTGCAGAGTAAAGAGCAGTTAGTCATACCCCAGAGGAAAGGGAGAGAGGACCAGGGAAGTTTACAGACATAACACAGAGGTGATTCATAGGGAGACACAGAAATCTGGAAAATGGAGAAGAGGGGCTAGGAGAAGCCTGGAGGCACGAGGGATGTAAGAACAGGGAGAGTTCTGTGTGAGTGAAGCACCGTGGCGATGGTGAGGGAGGAGAGGACACAACATGCATTTGAGCGAACTGGAGCGCCGCGGAAGAATCTGAGGAGGGAAACTGGAGCTAGATTAGGAGTCTAAATTTCACTTTGATGGCAAAAGGAATCCAACAGAATTGAAAAAAACTGTTTACCTTCCAGGTCAAAAAGGTATCCATAGAGAGCAGAGAAGCTGTGTTTGTCTGACATGATCCTTAGGCCCTTCTTACTGCATCTGGCTTCATCGCTGAGCACGGCTGTAACTCTACGTCCGTGCTGGCTCGCCATCTGCACTTAATGGATTAGACACAAGCAGGCACCTGCAGAGCTCCATCATTCTTCACCGCACACCCGGTAATCCTTACCTGTCAGCTGAACCAGCTGCTATCTTGCTTCCATCAGGTGACCAAGAACATCTCAGGAGATTCTATAAAGATTGGAAGTCAACGAATACAGTGATTAATGCACCACACCCCTCTTTACTGGACTACAGAATCACCAAAAGACTTTAAATTTCTCATTTAAAAAAAAAAATTTTTTTTCTAACATTTATTTATTTTTGAGACAGAGAGACAGAGCATGAATGGGGAAGGGTCAGAGAGAGAGGGAGACACAGAATCTGAAACAGGCTCCAGGCTCTGAGCTGTCAGCACAGAGCCCGACACGGGGCTTGAACTCACGGACTGTGAGATCACGACCTGAGCCAAAGTCGGAACTTAACCGACTGAGCCACCCAGGTGCCCCAAGACTTTAAATTTCTTAAGCAGAGTTTCAATTAGTCTCCCCAGAAAGATGATCAGCAATCATCTTATATTGCGTGGCCTAAGACAGCATACTTTATTTCATACAACATTCAAACCAACTGTAGAAAATGCTTCATTCACAGTAAATTAGAGTGGACCTGGCAACAAAATGTTGTTCTGCCTACAAATGAAGGTTTTCTGTGCTCACTGATCTCGATCCTCATTAATAATTTCATTTTGGGAGCGCCTGGGTGGCTCAGTCAGTTAAGCAGCCGACTTCAGCTCAGGTCATGATCTCGCGGTCCGTGAGTTCGAGCCCCACGTCGGGCTCTGTGCTGACAGCTCAGAGCCTGGAGCCTGTTTCAGATTCTGTGTCTCCCTCTCTCTCTCTGACCCTCCCCCGTTCATGCTCTGTCTCTCTCTGTCTCAAAAATAAATAAATGTAAAAAAAAAAAATTAAAAAAAAAAATTCCATTTTGAAGGAAAATAAAAATAAAACCAAATCCAACAAAAAACAAGATTTGATTTATAAAGTGAAACTGAATGGGCGCCTGGGTGGCCCAGTCAGTTAAAGCGTCTGACTTTGGCTCAGGTCATGATCTCATGGTTCATGAGTTTGAGCCCCACATCGGGCTCTCTGTTGTCAGTGCAGAGCCCGCTTTGGATCCTCTTTCCCTCTCTGTCTCTCTCTCTCAAAAATAAATAAAACATGAATAAATATATTTTTAAATATAAAGTGAAACTGAATCATACAGACTCTCAAAAGAAAAAACATTAGTCTTATTATTAACAAAGTATCTGGAGGAAAAGCTGCTATCAAGAGCTGACCTAGGACTTGAGATTTAAGAAAAATTTCTCTCAAAATCTGGGCCATGGTCCTTACTGAGGAAAGGGATGTATTCTCAGGGCTCTAACAGTGGGTCACTGGGAAGGTGAGGGAAGCCACCTGAGTAACAGACAGGAAGCCTGAGTCCCATATGTAACACTGACCCAAGAGGGTCAAAGTTTCCAAGGAATGAAAAGGAGGTTAAGACTATCTTGTTGAAGTCAGAAGTCTTGAATTTGAAGGCGGTCACACCACCATCTATCTATGTAACTGCCTTCCTCCCTATGCTTCCGTTAGTTTTATTTCTGGCAAGAACGGTTTTGATGGAGAACAGTGTTCACTGGAATATAGCCCCTTCCTAGTAGAGCTACTGCCCTCTATCCTTAGCACCACTTTTTTTTTTTTAATTGAGATATAGCTGACATATAACACTGTTTTAGTTTTAGGTGTACAACATAATGATTTGATATATATAAATATCGGCCTTGGCACCACCTTAAATGTATCTCCGAGTCAAATGGACAGTAAAACTCTTTAGCCATGCAGGACTCACCTTTTCAAAGTTGTGCACATTTCCTTGAAATATCTTCACACACCTCTCTTTGGGAGCAAATGGCCGGACATCCCAGACCCGCACTGCAAACGGAGCAAAACATGTTATCAGCTGGAGGCCTCCTGAGAACCCACCCGAAGTCAGTGTCATGTCAATGACAGATGCTGTTTCCTGGACGAAGGAGGGCCAACACGGTAGAAGGTACATGGGAAGGCTCTCTCTCTCTTTTTTTCTAACAAAAATGAAATGCATACAAATTCCATGAACAGTGACTAAGGGCACAGAGGAAAGCTGAGGAGGCAGGAAGGGGAAATGCCAAACACATAGCTGGGGGTCTGCAACAGAAAGTAGGTGGGTGTGACATTAATTTCACCAAACATTTGCAAAGGATTTCTCTTGCCAACCCAAAAAGTCACATCTAACAAAGCCTTAAACATGACACTCTAAATACCATGGACTACTGTGACAATCATCTACAAAAACCAAACCCAGGACTGACCTTTTCTAACTTCGCTCACAGGGACACCTGACAGTCTGAACTTGAACAAGGAAATATATCCAGAGAGTACCATACTAAGAATTAGAAAAAGTGAGCTGTGATTCTCATTCTAGCTCTGTTATATGTATGGGTGATATCAGGTAAAAAGTGAGTTTTTGTGTTTTGTGTTTTGTCTCTGTAAAATGAGAATACCATCTGTTCTTTTACTTTTTCATGAGTATTTTCAGGATACAAGGGACAGGGCTCTAAGAGAGTGGAGGCAATAAACAAAAGGATTTTATAAATTTTATCATACAGCCATAATAAAAATTCTTATTATTTTACTAACCATTCAGGGAATCTCATCTTTCCTTATATAGGGCGAACACTGCTACAATTAGTCAATGGTAAAACACATCACGATCAGGATATAAACATGCGTGATAAGCAGTGGCTACAGTTGTTAACAAACGTTATACCTATAGTGGAATTCAAGTGACGATGTCATTTTAATTGAGTGTGAAAAACAAAACAGTCCTTGAAATCAGGCACAGCAAGGTGAAGGTATGCATGAAAGTTTGCTACTGAGTTGAGGACAGTCAGAAAATAAGGGTGCTCATTCATTCAAGAACCCGCTGAATGCTAGGCTCTGTTTGTTTTACAAAATGTCAGTGAAAGCATTTCAGTTCCTGACAAGCCTATGAACTTGTACACCAGAGGGGCATCTCTAAGCTCTCCCAACACATAGCATATACTCCATCCTCCTTTTTGCTATAGTAAACCCATCCTCCCACATAGCAACTCAGAAACAAGCAGAGGAGAGTGTTTGTGTGAATGCGGAATGTTGCGATGTCGTAATGAGGACCTCTTGTCACACCAGTCAGTGCTCTGAAGTGAGGAGGGCAGACGCGCTGGCAGAAAGAGCACAGTTCTACCCACAGCTCTGCTGACCAGCCAAGCTTTGTGCTCTCTGAAATGCTTGCGAACTGCTTTGGATGGATCTGCAGACTCACGTTTCTCAACAAACTAATGATCACCAAGAGTTTCTAGTATGCTGCCTACATCTGCAGCACACCAGACGCTGAAATGGGTCTTAAAAGCTTGTGTCAAGTTGCTCAGGGATTAGATGGCAGATCTGGGACCAGAATCCTGGCTTCTTGACCATATCTTTTAAAGCTTTTTCTGTTACAATGTGTTTTCCTAACTGCCCTGGTAGAAACCTGCGAGCCACTTTTGACTCTTTCCTTGGATCCACATTTATCCCAGCACAATTTCTACCACCCAATGCCCACTTTCTTTAGGGTCCACAGTGACTGGGCACTTGGAGAGCTTTCCTTTTCAATGTTACCTGTATTGTCCATTGCATTGGACAAGAGATAAGAGCCTTCAGAACTTAAACTCAGGCCCGTCACTGAATCTGCATGGCCTCTCATGGTGTAGGTGAGCTTGTTTTGGCGCAAGTCCCAGACCTATAAAAACAAAAAAGTTGCTCCCAGAAATCAAATTGAGAATAGCAAAGAAACAGAGTTTTTACTAAAGACTCAATGGCCTGGAGAAACTGGTAACCCTTCTCAATCTGGCTGTGGGCCAAGTATAACTTTAGCACAAAATAGAGGATTTCTGTCAAAGAGGAAAAAAACTCTTGTCTTTCTAAAAAGGGAGTCAAAAGTGCTATGTCTGACCAGAAGGCTAATAAATGTCAAAACTTATGTTTAACAAAAATTAATAAAATTTACAGAGACTGTTCTCAAATCATAACAAAATGTATTAGAAATTAAAAAACTAAGTAGCATTTAAAATGCTTCAACTATGATTCTTAGCAATTTAAACTATTAGAACTACAGAAGGGGCACCTAGGTGGCTCAGTTGAAGCATCTGACCCTTGATTTTGGTTCAGGGCATGATCTCACAGTTCGTGAGGATGAGACCTGCATCAGGCTCTGTGCTGAAAGAATGGAGCCTGCTTGGGATTCTCTCTGTACCCACCTCTCCCCAACTCCCCCAATCATGCGTACACACGCGCATGCACGCTCTCTCTCAAAATAAACTTAAAAAAAAAAAACAAACTACAGAAAAACAAGTGAACATCTCATTTGAAAAGAGCATTATGATTACATGTAAATGTATCTTAAGATAATACACAGAAATATACGCGCTTAAAAATTTTCATTTAATGTTACAGGTACACAACACACACACACACACACACACACACACACACACACACACACAGACACACAGACACACACACACACACACACACTACAGAAAAGCATATTTATTAAAAGAAAAATGAACTGCAGATTCACTGTTGCCTGGGTAGGAAATGTAGAAGAAACAGTTCAGCTAAAAATAACCTAACATCAAACAGGGAATATAAATGGTTCATTAAGTTACAGTCCATGAACACATTGCAACAGCACAGGACTTTGCTAGAGACAGTACAGCAGAGTGGAGAGACTGAGGATTTAGGGTCAGACTGACCCAGTCCTAAGAGTTCTGTCTTATTGGGCCACTAACCCTCTCTGAGCCTGTTTCTGGTCTGTAAGATGGGGATAACAACATTTACCTCTTATGGCTCAAATAGAATGCTCAGCAGATGCCTGGTATGCAGCAGGCCCTCAATAATTGGTAGCTATTATTAAGCAACCTCTAAAAATAACTCTGAGGACCAAATGGAAAAATGTTCCAATAATAAGCTATTAAGCTAATAAAGAAGATACAAAATAGCATTTATATTTACACAGACTGCAACTATGTGGAAAAAAAATAAAGCCAATAGCAATGGTCTGGAATGTCATATGGAAAAAAGAACAGCAATTTTGGTAAGGTCATTGGTATTACACAGAATTTCCTCCAAATTTGATTTAATACTGCCATGTAGTTTTTCTGAGTGGGAAAAAAATGTTTTTGCTGCCTATTTAAGCAAGGCACTTCCCTTATCTAGAAATGAGTTTGGTGCTGCATGTCAAAGCAATGCAGAAGGCAGACAACTCCACTTTCCCCATCAATAACTCACTCATGTGTGGAACCCAACACACTTTATATACAATCATTTTTGTGTCAGGTGTTTGCTGCCTCAATAATCAGGAAAGCTTGAAATGGCTGACGTCTTTTGTTCAAGCTACTGTTCCTCCTCTTTAGGGAAGACACTGTTGAAGTCTTCAGCTTGTTAGGAGAGAATGCAAAGCCATCCCTCATAGCACTTGGGTGCCATTTCCAGACCTTCCTTCTTGAGGCATGTACACGTTGTGCACAGCCAACACAGATCCAGATTTGCTGTAGAAAGTAGCACTAATTTAAGCAAGACATTTCGCAAATCCCAAATCAATTGTTCAGTGAATGCTTGGGCATCTGATTGGTGGGCAGCAAGACTATGAGTTTTCATACTGGAAACAGTATAACAGGGTAGAAAGCTTTTCTAAGCTTTTGGAATACTGTGTACTTTCTAATAAAAAAATTTCCTGGGGTGCCTGGGTGGCTCAGTCAGTTGAGCATCCGACTTCAGCACAGGTCATGATCTGTTTGTGGGTTCAAGCCCTGCGCTGGGCTCTGTGCTGGCAGCTCAGAGCCTGGAGCCTGCTTCGGATTCTGGGTCTCCCTCTCTCTCTCTGCACTTGCCTCACTTGTTTCTCCCTCCCTCCCTCCCTCCCTCCCTCCCTTTCTCTCTCCAAAATAAATAAACCTAAAAAAAATTTCCTGAAAACAAAGCACTGGCAGAAAAATCTGAATGTCTATACACTAGTTTAAAAGATAAAGACTAGAAAGCTACGATGTAAAAATACGATGTAAAAATACGTAGCACTGGGGCACCTGGCTGGCTCAGTGGCAGCAGTATGTGACTCTTGATCTTGGGGTCGTTAGTTCAAGCCCCCTGTTGGGTGTAGAGATTACAAGAAAATAAATGAATAAATAAACTTCACAAAAAAAGGGGGGGGAAACCCACATATGATAACCAGGAACTAGTTCGTTAAATTATACAAAACCAGAATCAGGGGACTTCTCAAAGAAACATGAAGGACATTCTTTTAGAAAAAAGCCAGTGAGGGGCACCAGGGTGGCTCAGTCGGTTTAAGTGTGTAACTCTTGATTTTGGCTCAGGTCATGATCCCAGGGTCGTGGGATCGAGCCCCGTGTTGGGCTCCGTGTTGAGCATAGAGCCTGCTTAGGATTCTCTCTCTCCCTCTAACCCTCTCCCTTACTGACACTCTCTTTCTCTAAAATATGGGGCGCCTGGGTGGCTCAGTCGGTTAAGCAGTGGACTTCAGCTCAGGTCATGATCTCACCGTTCGTGAGTTCGAGCCCCACATTGGGCTCTGTGCTGACAGCTCAGAGCCTGGAGCCTGCTTTGGATTCTGTGTCTCCCTCTCTCTCTCTGCCCCTCCCCTGCTTGCACTCTTTCTCAAAAATAAACATTAAAAAAAAATTAAAAAGTAAGTAAATAAATAAAATAAAGTAAAAAAATAAATAAGGAAAAGAAAAAAGCTAGTGATATATGTAACTGCTGTACTTATGGGACTTTATTTACACATTCTCTATATAAGATAAGTTCAGCCTTCAGAATAAAACCGGTGCGATTGACTAGCTATCTGTAGAAACCACCTACCCTAAGAGAAGGAATAACATATGGTGTGTGTCTGAGAGGACACGGAAAACCTTCAAATCCTAAAAAGGAACCAAGTATCCCTTAAGGACTATAGCATACATTTAAAATATCTGTTTATAGAAGACCCAGGAATAGGCTAGGATAAAGAGTATGGAATAAGTCACACTGTATGTGGTGAGAAGGCCTTACTGGCACAAGAGTATTATTCTTAAACGAGTCTATCCCCTCAGTGTAGATGAGGGCATCAAATTCTCAGACCTTAAGTAAAAGAAGCCAGTCTCAAAAGGTTACATACTGTATGATTCCATTTGTACGATATTCTAGAAAAGAAACTATATGACAAAGAATGGTTGCAAGGACTTAGGAATGGAAAGAGGGTTTGATACAGGAGGGCACTATAAATTTTGGGGGTGATAGAAATTGTTCTGAACCTTGTTTGTGGTAGCTATACAAATCTATGCAAGCATAAACATTCACAGAATTGTACAAAGTTAATTTCACCATGTGTAAACTTTAATAGTAATGTATTTTTTTTTTTAATGGGAATTTTTTCTTTTTCTGATGTAAGCTATATGCTCAACATGGGGGGGGGGCTTGAACCCACGGCTCTGAGATCAAGAGTCGCATGCTCTACTGACTGAGTCAACCAGGCACCCCAATAATAATTTTAAAAGTATGAAAATTACAATACCTTAATGACACAAACCTACTGTCAGGTATAGAAGATGCCCTCTAGTGATTCTAAAGCTAATGGGCTCCCAAACTTCTCTCTGGGAAACACTGCATTAGCTATTAAGATGATCTAATTAAGTTCCTGTGCCCGGATCCCATATTCTCCATACAAGTTATATGATAGAAAAGGGATGGGAAGTTACATTTTGGAAGTGGTCAATTTTCAAGTATTGTGGGATATCCAAGTGGGGACTTCTGAGGGGCTGGTCGTATACAGGGGTCTGGAGCTGAAGATCTGGGCCAGGAATATGGAGTCATCAGCACAGAGATGACAATTAAAGTCATGGAAGCGGCGGTGCCTGGGTGGCTCAGTCGGTGAAACATCTGACTTCAGCTCAGGTCATGATCTCGCAGTTCGTGGGTTTGAGCCCCGCGTCCGTCTCTGTGCTGACAGCTTGGAGCCTGGAGCCTGCTTCACAGTCTGTGCCTCCCTCTTTCTCTACCCCTCCCCTGGTCACACTCTGTCTCTTTCTCTCTCTCTCTCTCAAAAATAAACATTAAAAAAAAAGAAAGAAAGAAAGAAAACACACCATCTGGGAAAACTGATGGCATGAAGGCCCAGACAGGAAAAGGAGATGAAATCCTTCTGCTGAAGGGACTACCTTTAGACAAAAGCAAGCACATGTCATCCACTGTAACAGCGAAGGAGGCAAGGAGGGATGGGAATACAACACAAGTTTTAGGCGGTGACAACACAGGAAGCTGAATATTTACTCACCAGTTACCACTCTAACAGTACAACAGAAAGTAAGGTCAAAATCTTTTGAAATATTTAAGGAAGCCAACAGGTAAAGACAGATGCAAATTGGGTAGCCCCCCAAAACACTTCCCTTCTACTGGCATTTGCTGTGTCCAGAAACTGCTAGGTGCTCTAATGCATTAGGTTCATTTAATCCCCACAACAACCCTAGAAGGTAGACGTTATTGTTACTGTTGAGAGGCTTATAGAACTTAAACAACTTGGAGTCATAAAAAACTAGAAAATGATAGAACTGGGATTAGAATCCAAGTCAATTACTCAAAAGCCAGAGCCACACTGTACTGCTGTATGGACTACTGCCACTCTTTATGACATCATCACTTCCCTCATTCTTAGCTGTGGACTCCCCAAAACTTCCTTTCCACAGTCTCAAAAAGAAAGATATGCTGAGAGATTGGAGCTGAGAATCACAAACTGCTTCAGTGTTATCTCATCAGGCCATCACAGTGGGAAAAAACAAAAAGTTTGCAAATGTCTTTAGGCAGGGAATGCATTCTTCGTGTTCACAGAATCCACACACGGGGTTTCACAATTCACATTAACTGTCTGGTCCCTGATGGCATTTACATGAGCTGTAATGCAACCTTTGACTTCTGTCAATGAAGACAGGACAGAAGGAAAACAAGATTTAACTTACTATTCTCCTTGTAGTTGGTACAAAGTGGAAAGCTACCAAAATCTCAGAAGTTTGAAAACATTACCTCTGAGAGTGAAGAGAGGTGAAAGGGAAATGTAACACAAACATTAAACATACCTTGATATCATTGTCTATTCCCCCAGAAATAATCTGATCACTTGTGTCATTGAAGGTCACAGCTAACACCTGGTAGGTGTTCTGAAATGTCTGGATGGCTGCTTTCTTCCGGATGTCCCAAAGCTGAAGCAGAGGAACAAGAGGGTCTATGGTCAAACATCATTCTAAGAAGTAATTGCATAATACATCCCGAAATCCAAGGACTTTGTACAGGTGAATACATTTTTAGTAGGGATCCTGTTCAGAAACTTGTCTGGATTTCCTAGTAACATGGTGAGAAGTGACCACAATTTTGCCAATGTATCTGAAGGCTGGGAGAACCAATCACTTTGGTTGTATTTTCAGATTCCTTTGTTAAAGTATGAATAAATACAGTTAATCAACACGCTCTTAGAATGGAAATCCTCTACTTGTTTAGTTGATATTTAAAAAAATTTTTTTTTAATGCTTATTTTTTGAGAGAGAGAGAGAGAGCGAGCATGATCATAGGAGGGGCAGAGAGAGAGAGGGAGACACAGAATCCGAAGCAGGCTCCAGGCTCCGAGCTGTCAGCACAGAGCCTGACACGGGGCTCGAACCCACAAACTGCGAGATCATGACCTCACCTAAAGTCGGACGCTTAACCGACTGAGCCACCCAGGCGCCCCTAGTTCATATATTTTTAACACAGCAAGGATATCAGACCAGTGTTTTTAAACTGGAGATCCTAACTCAGTAATGAGCTGTGGCTTACATGAAAAAATACAGAGAAAAAAACTTTTCTCATCAGCAAAAATGGAAGAAGAGGGAATACTAAAAGGCTGTCCCTCTACAAGAGCAGAGAATTATGTGACAAAACTGACAGAACCAACTTTGTCAGAACTCTAGAAACCAATCAGAAGCTTATAGCAGCTAGGCAAATGCTTAATGAGGAACGAACCCTCCTGAATCTTACAGAGTTCTGTAGCGTCTTAACTTACCCTGGCTCCGTCTCTTACGCAGCAGTAGCTTTGAAGACAATGGCCCACATCCCCAGGATAGGTTCCTGGTACCAGAGGGAGCAGAAGGGACCTTACTCCTTATTCTCAAAGAACTGTGGGGGTTTTTAACTGTCTGGTGGCTCCCTGAAGGATGAGCTTAAAGGGATGGACTTTACTTTGCCTAACTGGGAACACTTCCAGGGCAGAGACATTGGTCTACAACATTTAAAGGCAAATGCATTAGCCTCTGCTGTCTGGAGCAAGGGATGGCAGTTGGAGCAAACCACAGACAAACCAAAAAGCTTGTGAGGAAAGCTGGGGAATGAGACAATTTGGAGAAAAGGGGCGTCGAAAAGCTGACATATTCCTAGGACTCTAGAAGGCCATTTGCATGCCCGTGTCTGGGCACATGCTCAGAAAAGCCCTGAGAAGGCCCTAAGCTCTCCTCTTGCTGACCTGCACAGGCTCAAACCTGTGCACAAGCAAGAAGTGAAGCCTAATGCAAAGTTGTAAACGGCCTGGCTGAGAGGCAGAGACAGACCCAACACGCACACAGAGCAAATCTGCAAAGACCAGGAGTTTTTCTTTTAATCACAAGCCATTAAGAAAATCTCTACCAAAATCATTAGTGAATTGCCAAGCTAACGAAACCGAGATTTCAGTGGCTACGTACGGCAAACTATACAGACTTTACAAAATCAGTTCAGAAAATTCATCAAACAGCTACAACAAGGAGCAACAGCAAACCCCAGGTTCTCCTGGTCTCTCCCCAGGTTCTCCAGGTCTCTCCCCAGGAGGAGAATCTAATTTCTAGAGTTACCACATTATAATATTCAAATGTCCAGTTTTCAACAAGAAATTATGAAGCATGAAAACAAGCAAAAAAGTATGGCTCGTACAGAAGAAAAAAGAAATTAAATCTTTTAAAAAATGATGGGACAACTGGATAACCATACCTAAAATATGAAGGCAGACCTTTATCTTATACCAGATGCAAAAATTTACTCCACATGGATCAAAGAGTCAAATGTAAAAATTAAAACTATGAAATTCTTAGAAGAAAACACAGGGGTAAATCTTCATGGCCTTGGATTTGGCAATGAATTATTAGATATGACACCAAAAGCACAAGTGACCAAAGAAAAAATAAACTTCATAAAAATTAGAGACTTTTAGGGGCACCTGGGTGGCTCAGTCAGTTAAGCATCTGACTTCGGCTCAGGTCATGATGTCACAGTCCTTGAGTTTGAGCCCCGTGTTGGGCTCTGTGCTGACAACTCAGGCCTGGAGCCTGCTTCAGAGTCTGTGTCTCCCTCACTCTCTGTCCCTCCTGTCTCTCTCTCTCTCTCTCTCTCTCAAAAACAAATAAACATTTAAAAATTTTTAAAAATTAGAAACTTTTGTACATCAGAGGATGGTATCCAGAAAATGAGAATAAAACCAATAGTGGGAGGCATTATTTGCAAATCATATACCTGATAAAGATCCAGTATCCAGAAAAAGAAGCTACGGTTCAACAACAAAAACACAAAGAGTCCAATAACTGGGCAAAGGCCCTGAATAAACATTTCTTTTTAGATGATATAAGCGCAGGACAAGATGCTTAGCATCATAAATCATTTAGGAAATGCAAATCAAAACAATTAGATATTGCTTCCCACTTACTAGTGGGGAAAAAAAAGAAACCACAGAAAATAAGGGGTGCTGGTGAGGATGTGGAAAAATTGGAACCTTTGAACATCACTGGTGGAAATATAAAATGATGTGGCTGCTATGGAAAAGTCTGGATGTTCCCCAAAAGGTTAGAGTTACTCTTTGACCCAGCAATCCTAGATTGCTCCTAGATATATACCCAAGAGAAACGAAAGCAGGTGTTCAAACAAAACCTTGTACACAAATCTTTGTAGCAGTGTTAAAAACGAATCAAGTATTAATACATGTTACAAAGATGAAGCCTGAAACATTAAGCTAATCAAAAGAAACTAGACACAAAAGGCCACATATTGTACAATTTTATTCCCAACAGAGACAGTAAGTACATTATGGTTGCCAGGGGCTGGAAAGCAGGGAAAAAGTACTGACTGCTAAATGGGTAGGAAGGTGCTTTTTGGGGGTGCCAAGAATATTCTGGTATTGGATCATGGTGATGATCACACACACTGTGAATGTACTAAAAATCACTGAATTGTACATCTTTTAAAATGGTTAAAATGGTGAATTTTATATTATGTAAATTTTACCCTAATTTAAAAAATATATAGAAAAGATAATGTCACATATAGAAGAGGCTGATTCATAAACACAGACATACTGAGGGGAGTATATACTGGGTCACAGTTTAAAATGTATTCCTTGGGGCGCCTGGGTGGCGCAGTCGGTTAAGCGTCCGACTTCAGCCAGGTCACGATCTCGCGGTCCGTGAGTTCGAGCCCCGCGTCGGGCTCTGGGCTGATGGCTCAGAGCCTGGAGCCTGCTTCCCATTCTGTGTCTCCCTCTCTCTCTGCCCCTTCCCCGTTCATGCTCTGTCTCTCTCTGTCCCCAAAATAAATAAACGTTGAAAAAAAAAATTAAAAAAAAAATAAAATAAAATGTATTCCTTAATGCAGATTGAGATTAAAAATTTTTTTTTAAATTACTACACTTAGAGGATCTAGTTTAACTCCAATTTTTATGGATGAGCAAACTAAAGCTCAAAGAAGGAATTAACTTGATGACAAACACCCAGCAAGTCAATAGCAAAACAAGGATTAGAATTTAGTACTGTCTGATTCTGTTATGTTCATGTTATATTAACTTAAACATACTAAAATATATGCTAATTTCTTATAACGACTAAAGTAATCTACACTTGTTTTATACTGTTAACTTTTTAATGGCTACTTGATTTATTAATAATAGAAGATAGGGGTGCCTGGGTGGCTCAGCTGGTTCGGTGTCTGACTCTTGATTTCAGCTCAGGTCATGATCTTACGGTTCGTGGGATGAGGCCCCGACTTGGGCTCTGTGCTGGCAGTGGGGCGCCTGCTTGGGATTTTCTCTCTCCCTTTTTCTCTGCCCTTCCCCTACTTGTGCTCTCCCTCCCTCTCTCAAAATAAACACTTAAAAAAAATCGTAATAGTAGATAAAAATTAGGTATAATGAGACACCTGGGTGGCTCAGTTGGTTAAGCATCTGACTTCAGCTCAGGTAGTGATCTCACAGTTCGTGAGTTTGATGTCCCATCAGGCTCTCTGCTGTTAGCACAAAGGCTACTCCAGATCCTCTGTCTCCCTCTCTCTCAAAAATAAAATAAACGTTAAAAAAAAAAATTAGGTATAACAACTCTAGAATCCCATACCCTAAACAATTAGGCTCTATTTTTAAAAAATAAATTTATATAACACGGATCTACATTTTTTTTTAAAGATTTTATTTTCGAGTAATCTCTACATCCAACATGGGGCTCAAACTCACAACCCTGGGATCAAGAGTCACA